CATTTTCACGTTTTTTTAAAAATACCAAGAAAATAAATAAATAGAAATAATGAAATTCAAATTTGTGTTTGTTTGGTATGTGTTTGTGTGTGTGTATATATATATATCTATATCTATATAATAACAAAAATATTATCATATATAATCTCTATATATATAATATAAAGAGAAAGTTTAAAAAATAGCGATTATACACAATTTTTTATTCTATTATTTCATCAATTGGACTTTCCTCATCTTTCTATCTCTTTTATTTCTTTTCAATTTCTTTTCTATAAAATATCTTTAGTTTGTTTATTGTATTTTCATCTATTTTTATTATTTATTATTTTTATTTATTAGCACATAGAATATTATATTGTAATTAACTATAAACTAAATTTAATATACTTGAGTTTATTTATATTTTATTTAATTTTTTTAACATTATTTAGTATTTGGAATTTTTAATATCTATATAATTTTTTATTAGTTTATTAAGAGTTTTTTTAAAAAAAATTTAAGAAATAAACTCTTATTTAGGAATATATATATATATATATATATATATATATATCTCTATATATAAAGGTGAAATTTCAAAATAATTAATATCTGTATTTTTTTAATTAAAATAATAAATTACATAAATTAAAAATTATTTTAAAAAATTGTAGGTGTTGAGGAAGTATTATTCCAAAAACTTCTTAATACGAAAAAAATCAATAACTAATAACAAGATTAAAAATTAATCTATTCTAAAATCTAAATATTATACAGTTCCATTTTGAAGCTAGCTTTAACAAAACAAAAATAAATGCAGTATAAAAAGAATATAAAAAAAATTATTTTAATTCCGCCGAAATTGGGCAATTAAATTGGTGGATTTTGTATACAAAATAACATGCAATTTCATCTTAACGAACTTACTTTCTACTTAGGATTAATTATGTTTTTTTATTCAAAGAAAAAATAGGGAGAATAAAAATACATTAATGGCACTTAAATATATGCCAGGTATTCATGTTGATATTGCTGAAGCAAAATACAAATACTGGTCTATGTTCGCCCCGAATCCGGTTGAAGTTGTATTAGCAGCAGGACAGAAAGCTAAAGAGGAAGCAGGTAACATTAATTACTTTCGAATTCTTGTGTTCTATTTTTAAGTGTTTCCACCGTTCTTGAAAATAAATTCGGGGTGATTAATATCCGTGAGCTTGTTCTACATGGTAGACCTCGATTAGAGGATACAGAAAATCGACGTGATATAAAGGAACTTTCAGGAAGAGGGAAACATTGAGAACATGCTTTTTGTCGAGCAAGGATTGCGACAATTGGCTTCACTAAAGGTTTCTTCTATTATATCCTTATTGCTTCAAATGTAGTAGATACTGAAATACTGACATGTGTTTTTCGCACGCAAGTACAATGTTGTGAATTTATCCTTACCTTTCTTCAGAAGAACTTCTTCTCGTATTATTCACTAAGATGTTAACTCATTATCAATAGAATCTTACTAATTAAGGTCGTCAGAATAAGGAGTAATTGCTATTGGTCCTAAATTAAATCTACTTGTTACTATTATACAATTAAAAAATCTTAAAACGTGTCAGGTGGTGTACTATTAAAAAGGCATCTTTAGTGAAATTTTCGTTTTATTAACATAGATTTTTTTAATATACATGTGATCTTTATTTTAAAATTTAAAAAATGTTAGTATAATGATAAATAAATAATGAACTAGTAAAAAATTAATGTGTCGTGTGACATATTCTCAAAAAAATGTATGTTAAAATATCTTCTTTCAGTCTAGAACACATAATAGCTTTTTTATCTGAAATGGATCGAATATATGATAATGTGTAAGCAAGCGTGTATTATCTTCCCTGGAAGAGTGTGCTAACATGAGGTGCTAGAATCAGGGGTCAAAAAGACGTAAAACTAAAGTGCTGTTTGATTACTATTATCAAAGATAGAATGGATAATTTGGACATTGAAAATGTATGAAGATTTTAATTTAATAATAAAATTTAAATTACTAGTCTATACGTAATTTTTTTTCTAGGTAAATTTTATTTTTACCATCCATCTTGTGCATGGTTTTCAGTAAGTTGGGTCTTTATTGAATAGAAACATGAGTCCTTTAGGCTTTTAGTCGGTTCACCAAGGAATTTAAAATCTAGAAATGCCCTTCTATCCATATTTTTAACTTTTGTCGGAAAGTAATTTTAGAAATACTTTGTTTTTCTTATAGATACTAATTATGTTATTCAGTGAAATGACTACTAACAGCCATACTATTTTTAGAGCTAAATTTGCCAACAACATGGCACTCATGACATTTAATTCATCTGTTAACATCTTATTTTGACTGCTAAAAAAATTATTCTATCTATGATTTGATTTCTTCTCCATGACTGTTTTGAAGGTAGAGGAAGCATTGGCGTTTGTATTGGCTCAACATAGGCGACCAAATGTGTTAAGATTTGGCTTTTCAGGTGCCCGATTCAATATTCACTCTAATTTTATAGTATGTTTAGTACATTCTCATCATCTTATTTGATATAGTATACATTAATTTGTCTCCATTATTCATTCAACCTTTATCTCGTTTTACATATGCACATGTCAAAAGCATTTCATAAAAATCGAAGAGAGAGATAAGAATGTTATTCCAAAGTTGTCGGAAGAAAAAAAAGACGTTAGCTTTTTCCGCAAATGCTGTTGTCATATGTCATTTAGCTTCTGTTATAAATTTTGCTTATGAAATTATGAAAGATGGAAGAGAATCCGTATAATCATATTGTTAAGAGTTATTTAAATAGTAGAATCACACTATTAAGAGTTATTTAAATCCACATATTCATTTACTCAAAGATTGATATATGTAAGTTCTGACACTCTTATTTTTTTGGTGTAGATGACCTAAAACTACCGGTTGAAGGGCAGTGTGATGCATTTGGTAAGTTTTTTGGATTACAGTTTCCATTTTGCCCAATCACGTGTTAAAAAGCTGAAACTTAATGCAAGTGGAGTTATAATGTTAGATGGGAGTAGTAACTGAACCCTGCTTTGAAACTTTTGAAGTTGAATAACTTAGGGACTTTGATTTAGTTTACTGTATTTTTTTTTCAAATATGAGATATGGAGTATGTTAAGTGAGAATTATAGAGGTCAGATGCATACATAGTCTTGACCATTCAATCTGATGTTACATGTTTTGTCTACCTTATACCTTATCATCCTCACCACAACTTGCTCGTCTGTAGCTTTATTCACATTGACACTCGATAACATAAATTGATATTTAATTGGATTGACGTTATTTATGTATAAATCTTTTATTTTCAGATTTGAGTCAGGAGGAGGCTGAAGATGTATCTTTTAAACAGGTATTTAGCAATTTCTAAGTATGTGAATAAAAAAAAAAGAGATTTCATCATATTTTTTTAAGATTGCTGTAAATTAATAGAAGAACGATAAATTAATATAAATATAAAATCATTTTTTACAATCATACATTTATAGCATTTATTTTCCTAACTGTTCACTTTATTTTCATTTTGAGTATATATGGACTCTTATCAATCATGTTTGATTAGGCTTGGCTTGCTTACATTTGGAGGAGAGCAAAAAATCATGAAATAGAACCTGACATAGCATACGAGCGTTTACAGTTTTGGATCAATCATAACTCAAAGATTCCTAATTCACAAGATGCCGTTGACGGTATTGTCCACCCCTTTCCTACCTATCAATTGTAATTTACCTGCAACAGCCCTATTAAACTTTTCGTGTAAATTAAGCTTTTGCTATTATAGTTCTGCACAATGCTGTCACTTTTATGGTATATTTTAGCATGTAATAAGAAAAGCAGTATTAGCAGAAGATATAACCATAAGTATCTTTTATATATTTCTTGGTGGTTCTACTTGCAAATACCATGAACTGGATCTATTCAAAAGGAAATTCACTTAAACAAATATAATATCTAACGAGATTTGAATTCAACCATGTAACATGTAAAAATTTGATATCATTCTTAATCTAAAATCTTAAAATAATATATTAAAGGATCTTTCTATATAACGTGAAACTTTGATTCAAATCAGCATTTTAAACCGGCTGCAGCAGTTAAAAGATCCAATGTTATCATTCTATAATGTTATCATTCTATTTTTTGTTAGTATGTATTAAGTGAATTATAATCATGTAAATGATACTTTCACAGGCAACAAACTTTTAGGTTCATTTAATATTATATTTTACTTCTTTTTATAAATACAAAAAATTATGTAACGTGTGTGAGAGTTTCACTGCTGTTATAACCTTCTCTTGCAAATATATGTCAATGCTCCTACTTTATTCCTTTTTCGCAGTTGAACGTGGACTTGCCGAAATCAGAAGGTTGGATATTGAAACGCAACTATGGGATGAATCACGCAGAGAGCTGGAGCAAGATGCTGACAACTCCAACGTGCCTGGTCGGTCAGACTTTTAATATATTTAAATTAGGTTACAACATTTACTTTTTCACATTTTTTAAATGGGTTTTGTAATTTAGTTAATCAAGAGTTGGAGTAAAATAGGCTATAATTTTCAGTGTATCATATTTTACAAAACAATGTTATCAATTATTATGATAATTTTAAAAAATTATAATAGATTGGATTTATATTTTGTTGTGGTTTTTTATGAATTTTACATGTTTTAACACATTCGCAACGTTTTGCTAATTTTTCTAATATTTTAACAGTGCATATAATTTATAATTTATATTTAATATGTTAAAAAATAGAAAAATATTTTGGATTTAATTTAAAAAAATTATAATAATTATAAAAAAGTGAGGTAAATTATCGTTATTAAAAGAAAATTGTTTACGTTTATAGTTAAATATAAAAAACAATACAGGAATGAAAAATAAATAAAAATATATGTTTTAGAAGATTATATATGGATCACTGCTTCAGCATTTTTTTTAGATACATTAATTTCAGAATGAGCATTCCAAAAGTTAATTTTGAATCCTGAAATACTTTTCGAAAAGGCTATTCCAGAACACAATTTTAAATACATTCCAAAATGAATCTTCAGGAAGGTATTTCTCAATTCGAAAATAACTTCCGAATCAACCTTTTTGAAAAAAATGATTATTTCGGAAAATATTTTTGAGTTCGGAAATACATTCAAGAATAGTTATTCCAGAATATAAAAATAAGTTATGGAATTCATTTTCCAATATGGAAATATCTTTCAAACATCCAATTTGAAATGTATTTTTTTTATGCATTTCACGTTAAGTGTTTCCAAAAATATTTCGGAGCAGCAAAAAAAAGAAAAGTGCATGAAGAAGCACTATGATTCAAATCAAATTTACCCACGTTATAATCTCCTTGCGATCTTCCTCGACGTCTTATTTTTTAAAAATTTTAGATAATGATATTTTGACAACATTTTTTTGACAACATTTTAACATAATTTACGTGTCATTATGTGATTGACTCAAAATTACTGTGCACAATCAATAATAATAATCATAAACACCAAAGACCAATCACATAATGACACATAAATAATATTAAAATATTATAAAAGAAATGTTGTCAAAAAGTATCATTATCCATAAATTTTAGCTTTATGAATTATGTCGATCTTCTTTTAAAACAATTTCGTTGACATTTTTTCATACTGCATCGACATATCCTTCATAATTCAAAGTCATTCTAACTACAAAAATATTTACCGTAAAAGTTGGTAGTCTAAGACAAAAAAAAATGAAATTAAATATTGCAAAATATTTTATACACATACAAATCACGTATCTCACACATATTCTAAAAAGAGTTTAACATGACTCTATAACAACAATAAACTATTAAAACAATCATTATTGAAGAATAACACAATATAAAAAACAATAATGATGACAGGGTGAGATGAAAACGACTTTATTATCTCACGTTCATCTTCAAAAGAAAAATCAAGCCTCATACCCATACACGGGTATAACACTTTTATTCCATCTTCATCTCGATCAAATAATGGGGTGTATACTTATTCTCATTCACGTACTATTTTTATCACTATTTTAATATCAATTAATTACTTTTTATAAAACAAATTACGATAAAGAAAACATGATATTATTAAATATTCAATATCAAAATTATGTATTATTGTTTTTCTAAAATCAAACAATTTTAAAAAGTTATAATTATAATTGTATACATATGAAATTAGAGTACAAGATAAAATATTATAAGAATCAAAATATTTATTAAATTTGCAAACCTTGATGAAATGAAAATAATAAAATTAAAAAATATTTTAAAAATATTATAAAGAAACAGGTATCCAAGCTTAAAATTATTTTAAATGTCTATTTATTTCCTTTCTTTAGATTTTATTTAATTTTTTATGTACTGATAAAAATATAATAAAGAACTCAATCTAAATCACATAAAAAACAAATATTAAACTAATAATAATTAAAATTTAATATACATTTTTCATCTTTCTGAAGTTCAATCTATGTTAGATGATAATAAACAAGATTCATGACAATGACATTGAAACTTATTAAATGAACTAGATAATAAAAATAATTATATAAAAAATCATCAAAATAGTATTTTATATGATAAAAGTAAACTACAAATAAATATTAAAAATGGTAAAAATATTAGATGTACGTCTTGAAAATAATTTCGTACACATTAAATGAATTCCCATAAATAATAATAAATATATAATTAAGAGAGTGATAAGATGAAAAATATTTTAAAATTTTTTTTAAAAATCAAATATCATAGTAATTTTAACTATTAAGAGATATGAAAATTATTTTAACAAAACAAAAGTTTTTCCTGTGAAAAAAAATTAAGGATAAAAAAAATAAAAAATATTCTTTTTATATTACCTATTAAATAAAGATTCATGTTAGTAAATATTTGAAATTGAAAGTCAAACTATTTTTATATGAAAAAAATAAAAATATTGAAAAGAATATAAATACTCAAATACGATACATAAAACTATTTGATCGAATATAATCAACAATAAACAATTTGAATATAATCTTACAAAAAAGTTACTGATGATAATACACAATTTTACAGTTTGAATATAATTATAGAAAAATTACGTCTAAAGACATGAGTTGATTATATATATATATATATATATATATATATATAATATATAATATTATATTATATATATATATATATATATTCTATTATATATAATATATATATTATATATATATATATGGGTTTGGCTAACGCAAACGCCTGTTTTTCAGTTGGTACATTTAGCAATGTGTAACCGATTTTAGTAGATAAAAATAAATACCCTATATATCATGGATTCTAAGTTTTAAAGGTTAAGGGTCTTTTATAATTTTGATCTCAAAACTTCGAAAAAAAAAAAACCTCCAAACCCTTACTCCCTCTCTCATTCCTCTCACTATCCTTTCTCTTTCTCTCTCTCACTCCAACTCTCTCACTCCAACCTTTTCTCTGTCAATCCCTACTGTAGTCCCAATTGAAAAAATCAGAAAACACTTGCCTTTAATAATTTGCCTTTGTAAAGAGTTGAGTCATTGACATATTCCACCTTCAACAAAGGTTCATTCACGATCTCTTCAATTTTCACGCATCTTCCCTAATTTCTATAATTTTATCATCTGCATATGTTGAATCATCATCTCTAAAAAAACCCTCCAGGCCAATTACCAATTCTTTCGGATGTGATTATGCTGGTGAAAATTAGATAAAATTATATAAGACAAAAATTATAAAATGAAAATTCATTATAAAGTCATTTTTTTGTAAGAAATTGTTTAACAACAGTGTTTCTGATTTTTTCCAGGCCAATACGCATTCCTTTGATGTCATTATGCTTGGTGAAAATTAGACAAAATTAGATAGACCAAAACTTATAAATAAAACTCATTATAAATCATTTTTTTGTAAAATTGTTTAACACAAGTAATTTTTGATTTTTTTTTCCAGGTCATTACCATCCTTTTATGCTTGTGAAAATTGGTAAAATTAGATAAGACAAAATTATAAGATCAAAAACTCATTATAAAATCATGTTTTTTTGTAAGATTGTTTTAACGGCAAGTGTTTCTGATTTTTTTCAATTGAGGCTACAGTAGGGATGACATAGAAAAGATTGGAATGAAGAAAATGAAATAGAAAGGTTGAAGGAATGAGAGAGGTGAGTAGGGTTTGGGGGTTTTTTTTTTTTTTTTTAGTTTTGAGAATGAAAATTATTAAAATACCCTTACCTTAAAACCTTAGAATTCATATATATAGGGATATTTTTTGTATACTAAAACCCGGTACACATTGCTAAAATGTACCAACTGAAAAACAGGCGTACGCGCCTAAACCCTATATATATATGGGGTTTGCTAATGCGCGTACGCTTGTTTTTCAGTTGGTACATTTTAGCAATGTGTACCGAATTTTAGTAGACAAAAATATCCTTATATACCATGGATTCTAAGTTTTAAGGTTAAGGGTATTCTAATAATTTTCATTCTCAAAACTAAAAAAAAAAAGAAACCCCAAACCCTTACTCACCTCTCTCATTCCTCTCAACCCTTTCTCTTTCATCTTTCTCACTCCAATCTTTTCTCTGTCATCCCCTGTAGCTCCATTGAAAAAATCAGAAACACTTTGTCCCTTAAACAATCTTACGTTTTCCATCTTATAATTCTTGTCTTATTTAATTTTATCCAATTTTCACAAGTATAAAGGAATTGGTAATTGACCTGGAAAAAATTATCAGAAATACCTACTGTAAACCATTTGTCTTACAAAAAAAGATTTTATAATAGTTTTTTGGTTTTATAATTTTTTGTAGGAATTGGTAATTGGCTTGGAAAAAATCAGAAACACTTGTTGTTAAACAATTTCTTACAAACAAAACTTAGTAAATGAGTTTTCATTTTCTAATTTTTGTCGTAATAATTTTATCTAATTTTCACAAACATAATGACATCCGAAGAATTGTAATTGGCTGAAGGGATTTTTTTAGAGATGATGACATCTAAAAATTAGAGAGGTTAGTGGAGATGGTGAATTGAAGAGATCCTTGAAGGAACCTTTCCTAACGGTGAATATGTAATGACTCAACCCTTTACAAAGGCAATTTTTTTAAAGGCAAGTGTTTTCTGATTTTTTCAATTGGGGTACAGTAGGGATGACAGAGAAAAGGTGGAGTAAGAGAGATGAAAGAGAAGGGTTGAGAGGATAGAGAGGTGAGTAAGGGTTGGGAGTTCTTTTTTTTTTTTAAGTTTTGAAGAATGAAAATTATTCAATAACCCTTAACCCTTTAAACTTAGAATCCATATATAAGGGTATTTGTGTCTACTAAAATCCGGTACACATTGCTAAAATGTACCAACTGAAAAACAGGCGTACGCGCGTTAGCAAACCCCTATATATATATATATATTATATATATATATTATATATATATATATATATATATATTTATATATTATTTAATAAATAATAAATACTTTAATAATTTAAATGAAAAAGTATTAGGATATGTATAAAAAGAAATATAAATATATACTTATTTATCTTCGTCTTCATAATCAATTAAAAACAAAATCGGTATTATCTATATCTATACTCGTATTCATTCAATACAAAAACCTTAAAATAAAAACAATTTCAAATATTACTAAATATGATAAGTTTATTTCTCTATATATGGTAACCCTACACAATTGACTAACTAAACAATAAATGACCATTTAAATTAATTTATGTCGGTTATAATTCAGTGGACCATTTTCTAAATTTTTCATAAAACTATAAAAATTTTACAGTAAAACATGTCATTAATGTTAACATTGGGTTATGTACTTGTAATGAATGCTTGTAAAGTTTACATAAAAACCGAAAAAAGTCAACAAAATAGATGAAAATGGATAAGTATGGTGCTAAGTAAGTATGAGTAAGAAGCAACAATCTAACTTGTAGTGTTGGCAGAAAGCTGTGAATTTTCTTGTCAGAACATTAATATAGAGACCAACTACATTAAATTTTATTCACAATAAATTTGTGGTCATCAAATTTTAAAGATAATTAGAATTAGAGATGTCACAATTTCTCATGATTATTTTCACTCGTTTATATAAATATTTAAAATATTTGAAAATATAAAAGTACACATTGATTAATATAGAAGTACAAATTAATAAAAACTTGTGAAATATTAAAGTCTACCTAGGATCTTAATCTTAACAATAGGTATTATAAGAAATTTAAATTGATACCATTTATATATAAACATAAAGAATATATTAAATTTCCTATGTGAGTCTTTAAAAAATAAAAAATAAAATATAAATTCAATAATATTATTATTAAGATTTTTTCAGTTGAATGGATTTAGGAAAGAGTGATTAAATGAATTTAAGAGGATTTGAAAATAAATTTTTGTTGTTGTTTATTTAAGTGGATTTGGAGGTATGTGAGAATAGATTTGAAAGTAATTTTTTTTAATCTTTCATATCAATCAAATCCTACGTTAATTCTCACAAACGTTTCTTCCAAATCCACTCTCACATACCTCCAAATTCACTCAAATAAACAACCACAAAAAATTATCTTCAAATCCTTTCAAATCTATTCCATCACTCTCTCAAATCCATTAAAATAAACAAAGATAAAGAAAATTCACACGAAAATTAAAAAAATAATATAACACCACGTGACACATTTAACATAAAATAACTAATGAGATTTTATAAAGTCTTTAAGGCCTTGTTCTTTTGAGTGGATTTGAGAGAATTTGAAGATAAATTTTTTTATCGTTTATTTGAGTGAATTTGGAGGTAGATGAGAGTGAATTTGGAAATAAAATTTGTGAGAATTAGTCATGTCAATACAATTCTATACTAATTCTCACAAATTTTATTTCCAAATTCACTTTCATTTACCTCTAAATCTACTCAAATAAACCAAAAAAAAAATTATCTTCAAATCTTCTCAAATCCTCTCAAATCCACTCTTTCAAATCTACTCAAAAGAACAAAGGCCTAAAGCTCTTTAAAAATTATATAAAAAATTAAAATAGTCATAGTGAGCACAATTAAAATGAAATAGATGTACAATTTTTTTTTAATCAAAATATTGCAACATATATTTCTACTAGTGGGAAATGTAAAGTTATTAATTATTAAATTCTAAGAATTAGATTTTGTAAAACATAATAATAGCATAGAATAATATTATATGACCATAAATTTGAAAAATTAAAAATATTTAACTACAATAATTAAATTAATTTACAAAATTGTAAAAATTAAAATATAAATAAAAAAAGTAGAAAAATACTTATCTTAATAAAACAAAATCCTCCAAAATTTTAGAGTGATAAGGTCAAGAGGTGGATGGTTAGGTGAGTGATATACTGCAACGTGTTACCTGTGTTAAGTCCCAACACGCCTCCATGGCTATAAATAAAACAAAAAGACCTTACTGTTTCTATCATCACTCTCCTTCTGCTACTTCTAGACTCTTCTTCTCTTCTCACACTTCTTCCTTGGGGTGCCCTGAGGTATGCATGCGCTTCTCTCTCTTTCTTTTGTTCATCTCTTTATCAATTTGTTTCCGATCATTGTTCTTCAACATTTCTTCGATGTCCTCTCTCAAGATTCTGGATTCTTGATTTTTGTTTCTGATTATTGTTCTTCAACATTTCTTCAATTTCCTCTCAGAATACTCGATTGTTGTTTCTGATTACTTTTCCTCTCAAATCTCTATCTCTCTTTTTTGTATTTACTCTCAGTCGTGCACAGATCGATTACGTTATGTTAAACGCTGTTGACCGCATTTTTTTTAATGTCCTTTGGTTAATTTGGACGAAGGAAGAGTTGAAAAGCGTATCTGTTAAACTCCTGGCTTCGGATTCGATTTTCGAAATGAATTTAGTTTTAGTGATTTTCTATGTTTTTTGTTTGAACTCGTGCTATTACTATGAGATAAGGAAGGATTTGTGTTCGTTGTAGATCTGTCCGTTTTGTTTAGCGTTGATAGACAGATCTACTGAATAGGTAGCTTGTTTCTGTAATTGGAAATTGAGGTTATGCTTTTTGTCGTGATACTCTATTTTCTTGTGGTCAACACAATATTTTCTTTCTATGTCTGGAACTAACATAAAAGACTTCATCAAGTGAACTTAATTGTACCTGGATCGGAAGTTTTGAAGAGTTTGAAATGTCTTTAGTGTTTAGTTTGTCGTGTTACACAGCTGACTTTGTTGTGTTGGCACATCAGTCGTGGATTTTTATCTTTTCGATTCTGACCATTTGAATATGATCTACTGGTCTATATTTACTGTTCTTGTTTTACCATAAGTACTACTTACTAGTTGTAACTCTGGATGAGAGAGATGCCTACTTATTTTATTTCACCATAGTACCATTCTTATTTCACCACCATGATAACCAAGACACTGTATGTGCACACGTCACGCATGTTGATTCTATGAGCTTGTACATGTATTGTCTGTTTTATCTGAAATGCCTGCTTTGTTGTTCAGATCACATTGTGCAATGGTGAAGGCTGTGGCAGTTCTTGGCAGCAGTGAGGGTGTCACTGGAACTGTCTACTTCAGTCAGGACGGAAATGGTGAGTCTCAACAGTGAGCATAACCCTCATCGTTAATAAACTTTACAATAAGCATTTATTAGGGAGAAAAATAATAAATTAAGATGAATCAAGCCGCTCTATTACGAAAAATTTAAATTATGACCTTTATTACAAAAGTGCATATTTTGATGATATATGTTATGACATTAACCTTTTTTCTTTTTCTGTACTAACCATTGAGCCAAATCAAGTAATATATATTGTCAATTGTGCAGGTCCAACCACTGTAACTGGCACTCTTGCTGGTCTTAAGCCTGGTCACCATGGCTTCCATGTCCATGCCTTGGGGGACACTACCAATGGTTGCCTGTCAACTGGTATAGTCTTTGGACAATAACCCGAGTAAATTTTTAATTCTGTTGGACATTAATGAACTGGAACAAATTGTAAACTCTCACTTCACTTGAATTGAAAGCAATGAACATTTGTATGGGAGATTCTTAAAAGTTTGAAGCAATAAAATCTATTATAAAGCAGCTGGATTGGATTAAAATCCTGTCACTTAGTAACATGTTAGAAGGCTTAATTTTTATTATCCCCAATTTTTACAGGACCACACTTTAATCCTAATAGCAAGGAGCATGGTGCCCCCGAGGATGAGAATCGCCATGCTGGTGATCTAGGGAATGTAAATGTTGGTGATGATGGTATGATCGATATGATTTTTTCTGTCTCATTTATTTGATTTGTGCTGATCCCTATCATTCCAAGATAGATAATAATGCTAATTTTCTGACTCGAATTCTTAAAGTTCTGATTATTTTTATAATACCGATGTTTAATAATAGTAATCTTTTACGCATTACACGGATGTAATTAATAGTTTTTCCATTTTTTGAACAAATGGCTGGTAATCAAGATTACTTGCTTTCTGTTTTGGTGATAGTCTATCTCTGAAAAAACTTTTCTTTTTTCTTTTTGTATACATACCACATACTTGTTTGGTCCTTATTTTGAAATGGATTACTCTCGTGTCTAACCCAGGTACCGCCACCTTTAGTATAACTGACAGTCAGGTATGTTATTCAGCTCCTGATCAAATTCTCTGATTATTTCTTCTATGTTGAGAGTTGACTGATACCATGAGAAGCTTCAGTTTTTAATGAGTTATTGAATGTGCGCAGATTCCTCTCACTGGACCAAACTCCATCATTGGGAGAGCTGTTGTTGTCCATGCTGATCCTGATGATCTTGGGAAAGGTATTCACTAATCTGTTTTATACCTTGCCATTTTTGGTATCTGAGGCATCGGTCATCAATTGTGACTCGTGACATTCCATCTTAATTCGGTTGGATTTGTATCCTGTCGTGTTAACAAAGAACATGATTTTTTCATATAAGTAGAAAAGTTATAGTAAGTGTCACCATCATTTGCGGTTGGTTCATCGAATTAAATTGTCTTCCTCTCGTTCATTTTCTTTGCTAACAAACGATGATTTTGGTCATTTCTCCTTCCTTGCATACCAAATCACAGCTATTCATTATTCTATGTTAAAAGCGTTCGTTGTTTTTCGGTTTACTGCATGTTATAGTTCCTCCTCCTTTTGTGTAGGTGGTCATGAGCTTAGCAAGTCTACTGGAAATGCTGGTGGCAGAGTAGCATGTGGTAAGCAGACTGTGATGTTAAAAATACCGTATTTCTGATATTCCTTATTACCCATGCAATATCAATGGTCGATGTGGTAAACAGGTTTACATACATCTTAATAGATACTATCATATATCAACCAATAATATATAATTTGACAGCCTTTGCTAAAATGTCGGCTGTCTTAATTTTTGTTTTCACTGTCTCATGGCTCCTTTCAGTTCTCCGTTTGCTTATGTTGACTGTACTGATATCCTCTTTTTGCCGTTTGTTGGTATAGGTATCATTGGTTTGCAAGGATAAACTAGTCACATGAAAACGGGCGTGATCGTATGACGAAGCTTTAGAATTGTGGAATAAAGAATCGCCCTTTTAAACCCGTTTGGTTAGGATTGGTCTGTACTGCTGAATTCTGTGTTTCACTTGTATCGTATGAGAGTCATTTGTAGACACTTGATGCTTATTTCATGGTTTTTGCCTGAATTGCGTGTTTAGTGGTTTGTCCATATTTATCTGATCGGTTTGCCTTTGCAGCATGATATTAGGGTAATGAGAGGTTTTCACGATGAATTAGTCAGATAATGTTTGGATTGGTAGTAGGATATAAAGAAATAAATAAGTCGGAAAAAGGGATTGAATGGAATAAAGTTAATTGGGGAATCGGGAAGCGGAAGTCATGAAATGAAATAGATAATATAATTCATTTTTCATTGTGATCTATTCCTCCATTCTTTCCTACCGAATTAAACATTTCCTTGAATAAAAAGACAGTGGTTGTAATTTTCAATAATCTTAACTTAAAAAAATAAAGAAAATGGGTTCATAACTGAATTCACAATTCTCACACTACCAGCAATACTTTCGCAGGGACCCGTAGTATGGTCAAAATGAAATAGAACCCATGGCACAATGTTCTCACTACCCAAAAGAACTCGACTAAACGTAACGCGGTTTTTATACATGCGTTGCATCATCTGAACAAAATTTTCGATCTACTATAGTACACATTTCTGAGCAATCTTCTTAATGCCACTGTTGACTATTACTTCTGCCAGTTGGTGAAGCAGTAGCCACAGGAACAAATCCCCTACCGCCGAAAACTGGACGCATGACTGAATTATCAAACGTACGCCATAAGTGATGAACATTATGAGTTGAAGTGCTTAGTAAGGCACGAATAGTGTTTGGACGATGATCTTCATTGCCATCAAGTTCGTTTTCAGAATCCTGAGAGCCTCCAAGAAAGGGCACAGTGATTGATTTTGGAGGATTATTAGATGATTCCATGTTTCCCAAGCTGTTCTTGCGTTTAGGAGGTGGACTAACTGGCAGCAAAAACCTTATGAGTGGCTTGGTCATCAAACCAAACACCTGACAAGTTGTAACTAAATTGTGTCAGCCTCATCTCGAGAATTTTTCTTTCGAAACTGAGGTATCGTGTTTTACAGATCCCAAATCTCCCACAACTGATCAATATTTGATATAGTTTACGTTTAAGCATATTATTGAGGTGGATTTTTCATTTCCTATCATGTTAGCTATCTCATGAAATGGTTGGTAATTATCACCGAAGCAGAAAGCAAAATCTCTTTATGTGAACATTAACATGATATAAAAAATTTACAAAATGTAGGCTTCTTACCACTGTGCTGACAAGCACGACAGTGATGGTGCTGGTGATCATGATGGCATTGGTTCGCAGTTCAGTGTGACCTGACAAGGTGAACTGCATTTTACAGGAGTATCATTTTCTTAGATACTTTGAACTTAAATCATACCCAAGGTAAATACAACAGCAATTTAAGACTTGATCCTATGTACAGTAACTGTTAATCTGTTTCTTCGCCTTTGTTAACTGGCCATTAACACTAATATTTCAAAAACTGTATCTCCAAATGAGCAACATTGATCTGACCTGATTATAGGCAAGTGCCATTGAAACAGCACCTCTCATAAGACCAGCCCACCAAATGATCACCTAAAACAAGGAATAATGGAAACCTTTTCAACATCCCGCGAAATCCTGAAAGATAATATTTTCACAGAAATCTAGCCATACCTGCTCCCTGAAGCTTATTTTTTCACTTTGAGATTTTTTAGTGAGGTTTGATAAGAAGGATAGGGGAAAAACAAATGCTGCTCTTCCGGCAAGTACGAGACCCAATAAAACTGAACTAACAGCAACAGATGTTTTCGGCCTGCAGAAGAAACCGAGTGAGGTACACGAGTTGTTTTCTATAGTAATTAAAAGGAACTTTTGAGGAAAGCATTTTTGAGTAGGGAGATGCATGATTTAACAATCTTCATAAATAAAAATGGTCAAGGTGTGACAGAATCAGGACTTACCTATCGCTAACAAACCTCCACTTTTCAATGTCCAACGCATCCATACCAACATAAAGGAAGATAAAGGTTTCAAGAACAAAAGAGAGAGTTGCAAAAGCATGTCTGTAACAGCAAGGCAAAACAAGTTAAATAGTGTTACAACCGCCAATAGATCCACATATATAGTTTGAAGAATCTGATTGAAGATATACTTGGTAGTGATTCTTGAGCTCTCAGTCACATTATGCCAAGTATAATGTGACATAACAATCCCACAGAAGAATACAGTGAGAATGCCACTCAGATACCATAACTGCATTTTATTTAAATACATGAGAACCCCCACTGATTAATGTCAACCGCAAGAATGGATAAATATAGAGCCCATAAAGGACTCCACAATGGAGTTTGTGCGTTCTTCAAAACTTACTTCAGCTAGAATGTAGGAAAGGTATGCCATTAACATCATGAGAGCAACCTCGCGATCTGTAGAGTGCCTGTAATATTGAGTAAGCAATTTGTTGAGCACCTAAACAATTGTTACAATTTTTTATGGTAGGTTTAGAAAACTGGTGATCAAGATAAAACGTAGAAACACCCAAGAGATTCCCCTGTAGTGAAATAAGGCAATGAAAGCATTTTCCTTACGGAAAAAAATATCATATTAACTGCATATAGAGTATAAAACAATGGAACACTATCATAGTAACTGCTGAAAAACAATAATGGTGGTAAAAAAGGAATTCTATCAACATGATACCTGCCAATATAAAGCGTTTTAATAATGTAAGCGCTGAGTAGACCGGCCTGCAAGGTGATATGGACATATCAGACCCTATGATGCACACATGATACAAATATTATAACAATATATAGGAAACGATAAGTACATAAAATTCTAAAATATGTAATTACCACTCTGCAAATTACCAAGAACAAAGTAAAAATTGCAAACTGTTCTCATCATAATTGCTTTCTATTTTCTAAAGATATAGTGTAATCTTCCTCTCTCACGTGATCATACATAAAGAGGATAGTTTATATTTTTTGGTCCATTAAGGGTCAATATGTTTATGTTTCTATAATTTTTCATGCATGTATGTCATACATACATGCATATACATGCATATACATGCATATACATACAGATACGTACATATATACATATATACATATATATATATATATATACATATATACATATATATACATATATACATATATACATATATATATATATATATATATATATATATATTAAGTATCAATATGTACTAAGTGCTAATTGATGTGTTAAATCTTGTCACTTTGTGACGTTACACTAGAGAGAGTTATAGGGAGAAAGACAGTTACCAGGACACCAAGCATGGTGCTTGCGATAAACAGGTAGAAGAAATTGCCGAAAAAATGTAAACCAATTCTGTGGTCAATTATGTCGAGATCAAAACTTTTGATTGCATTGAAAAGCACAACAGATGTAGCATCGTTAACAACACCCTCGCCAAACACAAGACTATATAGTAAAGGTGTCTCATCCTGGTTTAGCACCTGCAACAACATAATTTGTAAGTTCAGTGCTCAGCATTCACACCTTGATTGTTGCTATAACATTGTGAAAAAAGGCACATTTAGTTCCAAACCTGCAATGTGCACACTGAATCTGTTGCAGCAAATATTGCCCCAATTGCTGAATTATTTTTAAATATGGAGTCAGTTACAAATAGATTGTCAAAGTTGCCAAATAGAAGAGATTGAATAATATTATTATACCTAGATAATCTCCTATCTCCAGTGATTTTCCAACACCCATTCTCTTAAAAATTTGTATGACACCTGAAACAATGCTTCGAAAATTCAAGTCAGGTAAGAATCTAAATACTTCCAATGAAAAAGTTACTTAGCAAATTTAGATTGGCACTCAGTTACAAATTAACTGTAATCTGAGGTGCCAATTTTTTTGTCGTTATGTTAAGTTTTGGAGAGAACAAGGTAAGAGATCCATTTAAAGGGAAAAGGTATACCGAAAGTTATGATGCTACAATTTATTAATGTACCAACAGCTCCAAAAAGCATAATGGTCATGAAGTTAACAAAGAACCGTTTCTTTTTCACTTGAAACCTGGAAGAAATATATAATAACATTACTCAGGTATACATTTGTCTAAGTAAAAGAACAACAACAACATCAGGAAAACACAAAAAAACACCCCACAAGGAATCTCAGAAGAGTTGAGCAGAAAGGCCATTATCCATTAGTACCTTGGACTAAAAGAGCAGTGTCATGAGCACACCAGTAATTATTAGCTAATAATTTATACTAGAATTCACCAAATCGTGACAGTAAATATGAAATTGGATACACATTATTTAATGATTTTATTAACGTTTAACTAATGTCTGTAAGAAAATTTGACTAGTAGTATAGTAGAATATTAAGATTATTTTATGCCATTTTCCGCAAGAATTGAAAAAATTCAGGCCTTTCTACTACATTCAGATTATCTCATTGGATACATGGTGGTCAATTTTCATTGTAGTTCCAATTAATTAGACGATGATAAATACAGAGTCAGACACTTTATCATCATTACCATTAGAGAGCAAGAATTCGGTGCTAAAAGCCTTACCCTGCATTAAATATGATAGGAGGCAGAAGGTATATAAAGAAAAGATCTTCGCTGAAAACTAGAAGATGCGAGCTTTTGCCGCGACTTTGCAACAGAATGACTACACCAGTGCAAACACCCTGCAAATAGCAATTAATTGACAGAATTATTTATAGTACTAAAATTTACACGCGTGTATATGTATAGCAATTTGTTCGTAGTATATTAATTAATTTATGGAGTAATGATCGCTTACTATAAAAAGGGCAGTGATAGATTCATTCACCCAGCGATTCTCCTCAAGAAGATGGCCAATGACAATGCAAGTACACAGCAGAGCCACAAAAATGTTCATGGACACAACGGAGGCATAATCTGAAGTGGATAGCATATGCAATTTTGAAAGTGCGTAACTTATTTCAGTACCCATTCTTTGAACCCTCAATTGCAAAACCTCTTTGCTTCCAAATTCAGATTTTCTTTGTTGAGATTAAGCAACTTGCAACATCACTTTACGAACCAAATCCGAATTTATAATATGCCTTGGAGATG